GGCGGCCGCTTGGCGCACGGCAGGTGGCGCGAGGGCCCGGCGCCCGGCGGGCGAGAGCACTGCCTCCCGGGCCGATGAGGAAGAGCGACCGCCGCCGCCGCGGGGAACGGCGCGCTTTGCGGAAGGGGTCAAATGTCTGAAATATGGCGGAGGAAGTGAGAGCCCGAGGACCCCCCCACTCGCCGGATCCCTCCTGCCCGCGGCCGCCGCAGCCTCTCCCGCTGCCCGCCTTCCCCCGCTGCATCCCCCGAAGACTCGCCCCTCCGCCTCGGAGCCCCCTCGCTGGCCGCCTCGGTTCCCTCCCCGGTGCGGGTGGAAGTTAGAACGGAAACCAGAAAGTTGTCCTTTTCGAAGACACAGCTTCCCCCAGCCCCGAGCCTGGGCGAGGAGCGAGCAGGGGAAGCCACTCCCCGGCGCCCTGCGGGCTCGAGCCTGACAGGGAAAAAGTTTGCCTGAAACGGGGCTGGCTTGCCCCATTTGTTGCGGGAAGTGGCAGGAGGAAGGCAGCGGAGGGAGCCCCACCTAGTCTGGCAGCCAGCTCCGAGGAGAGAAAAACTGTTAAAGGGGCCTTTCCCTTCGTCAGCAAGAGGAAATCTCCCCTACAGAGGAGAGAAAATCCAGGAAGTTTGTCCTCTTCTCCTTTTCGCCGGCTCGATTAGTCTAATCCTAAAACTATCAGCTCCAAGAATGTATTTAAAACTACTTATTGGCCCTCTGGATTTTTCTTCTAGAAGGGGAGAAAAACCTGATGTCTTTTGGACAAAAATTTCATCCTGTGAGTTTGAGCAGATGGTTTGCTTCCCCTTCGTTTGTCCTCCTCCCACCTTCTTGCAGTAGTTTAGAAAAACATTTTGGTCCTATAACACCTGATTGGTACGAGTAGAAGCTAGTTATGTGTCACGGTAATGAGAAATCACATTTGTATAGGGTAGAAATTTGACACTAAGTTAAGATTGTGGTTTTTTTTTTTTAATTAATTCGTATAATTGAGTTTTTGTTTTGGTGCTTTATCTAACATGTAACTGGTGCTTAGAATTTAAAGGTTCTAACTTGTAAATTCATTTTTCAGCCCTCTTGTTTGTTACTAGATAAAATGCTGTTTAAACTTGCTCAACAAGACCTTATCTTAGCAAGAAGTAACTTTCAGAAAAGAGAGACTTTAACTTTAATCTTATATCAATCCTAAAAGCTGACTCTTGAAATGCTATTTATTGAGTCATAATGGAGTCATGGGACTTTTTAACAGCCGGAAGGGACTATTTAGATCATCCAGTCCCACCCTGTCATTTTAGGGAGAAGGAAACTGAGGCCTGGAATAGATAAGATAACCAGGTAGTGGGTCTTCAGACTTTTGAGAAATAGTCCATCTATAGTAGAAACCTGACATTTTTATAGTGAATTATATCTTACAGAGAATGTTATCCCCATAATGTCCAAAAGAGTGGATACCCTAATCAAATAGTGGAGAAAAAAACACTTTTTCCCAGGTTTTAAGAGAGGATGCTAATGGGAAATGAAAGAACTTCAAGTATACAGAAAGAACCCTGAATGATAATCTTATTTGCTCATTCATCAGTAAGTGTTTTTATTTGCATTTTTTGACACTCACAGTAAATGATGAAGTTGTATTAAAGGAAGTCCCAAAGTGGTCGAAACATACATAGCCATGTGTTCTTACCTATTGCATTAAATTATAAATTCCAAGGACGAGATATGTTTTTCTTTTGTGTACCTCCAAGTACTGGGATGGTACCTTGAACCTAGCCAGTTAGCACCAGTTAAATGTAAGCACTGTGAGGGGAGGGATTTAATCCATTTCATTCTTCATTGTATTCTTGGTTCCTAGCATCTTGCTTGGGTACATAGTAGTTAATAGTTAACATTTGAATTTATGGATTAATGGTAATTAACAGTCAAAAGGATATTTGAATAAAACAGTGTAGTCTTTGAAGAAGAAACATTTCATATTAATTTTCTAATCTTTTACTTCTTTGGAGAGGTTTCACTATAGGGCATGTGTGCTCGCCAGGAAGGCAGAGAGAGACAAAAAGTGAGAAATCACCTCCCCATGGGGATGGCCATGCTGCAATCCCTTCTCCTCCATTCTCAATCTCTTGGGATCTTGCGCATGCATACACATGTGCCTGGCGTGAGTTTAAGCCACTAGGTCCGGGACTCAAACTGCGGTCGACTACATGGGAGTCTAGTGACGTAGCCATTACGCCAACTGCTGGTTCCAGTTTTCGAATCTTTTTTACTTTACAAATTGATTTTCATTTTGTCCTAAAAACAATCTGTTAAATAGACTTCTAGTATTTTCTCTTAGTTATGTGAAGGGAAAGTGAGCCCCCATAGTAAAAGATACTGTGTAAGGAGGGTCTGGTGAGGATAAAGAATCATTTAAAAAAAAGAAAAACTTGACTCATGTATGTAAAGATCTCTTTTTTTTTTTGGAGAGGTTTTTGCTACAGGGCGCGTGCACTTGCCAGACAGACAGAGAGAGACAGAGAGACAGAAAGTGAGAAATCACTCCACAATGGCCACTCACCTTCTCCATTCTCCTCTCGGGATCTTGGGCATGCATGCACATTCGCCCGGTGTGAGTTTAAGCCACCGGATCCAGGACTTGAACCACGGTCGGCTACATGGGAGTTTGGCGACATAGCCATTACGCTAACTGCTGATCTCTATTTTTTTTTTTTTGGAGAGGTTTTTGCTATAGGGCGCGTGCACTCGCCAGACAGAGACAGAGAGACAGAAAGCAGGAAATCACCCCCCAAGGAGGGGTGGCCACGCCTCAATCCCTTCTCCTCCATTCTCCTCTTGAGATCTTGGGCACGCATGCACACACGCCCGGCGTGAGTTTAAGCCACTGGGTCCAGGACTCGAACCGTGGTCGACTACGTGGGAGTCCAGCGACATAGCCATTACGCTAACTGCTGGTCCCTATTTTTTGAGAGATTTTTTTGCTAGAGGGCATGTGTGCTCACTGGAGAGACAGACAGAAAGCGAGAAGTCACCCCGGGGTCGGAGGAAGGCCACACTGCAATCTCTTCTCCCAGGATTTTGGGCATGCATGCACATGCACCTGGCGTGAGTTTTAAGCCACCAGGTCCAGGGCTCGAACCACAGCCAGCTACGTGAGAGTCCAGCAATGTAACCATTACATCATTTGCTGGTCTCTAGTTTATTTCTTCCATTAGAGAGAGAGACAGGGAAGAAGAAACAGTCCCAAAAGGATCTTTTTCCTACAGTCTCACCCAGCCAGGATCATGGGCACATGTGTGCTCATGTACTCGACGTGCACAGGGAGACCTGAACCCAGGACCTTCCCATAAGGCTTCAGTGTGGTGGAGCATTGCATTACTACCACCCCACTGCACTGGCTTATACATGTTATTTTAAAAGTAAAATCTATGATTTAGATGAAAAGTTCATATTCAGATTTTTTTCACTTTTGTTGTAGATAGTTGATAAATATTTGTTGAAGAAGTGAAATTATGCTATGAAATTGAATAATAATTTGGCTAATTTTACAAAGGTGTCATTCCCCCCCAAAGTATAGTTTAAATAGACATTTATGTTTACTAGATATCAAGAAACTGTTTGCATGTATCATTTCCCTAAAAATACAAAATAATGTGTTCTTGTATCAGTCTGTGTTGTAAAGAGGGCAAGCCTTGATCTCTGGAGTTGATCTCTAAACTTTAACACTGGTCGAGCATTGGATTCTAAGATCAGTCCTTTTAGTCATAGAATTTTGATTTTAAACAAGAGAAGTTATCAGTACCTTTTGTGCTGCCTTACAAAAAAATTCATATTGCGGGGCCAGCAGGTGGCATGGTTGTTAAGGCAACTGGATCTTACATGGCCAACGCTATGGTTTGGGACCAGACTCAGCAGCTTAAAAAGCACACTGGACTCATGTATGTGCATACTCAAAATTCCAAGAGGAGAATGGAAAAGAAGGGATTGTGGTGCTATCCTCCATCCCCCATCCCCTCCCGCACCCCACTCACTTTCTCTCTCTCTCCCCTTCTCTGTGTCTCTCAGACAAGCACACATGCAGTGAAGCAAAAACAAAAAGTAAGAATATTTACAACATGAATTATAGAATTTCCATCTGATTTATAGTATACAGAAAGAATATTCTGGAATATCAGTATGCTTAAAATTACTTGATTATATATGAGATGTGTGGATATTAGAAATATTTTCACATTTTTTTTTTAATTACCGGAGGTCTATGCACTTCTCAGAGTGAGGGAGGGAATGAGAAAACACCCCCGATGGTGCATGGCCACACTGTAATCCTTTTTCATCTATTTATTTTCCCGTCAAGATTTTTGGGTACATGTGTGCATCCGCCTGGTGTGTTTCTCAAGCCTCTAGGGGCCGAGATTCAAATCGTTAATGGCCATGTGGGATCTGGCTCCCTTAACCACTAGGTTATAGGGCTGGGTCAAATTAATAGTTTATAGGTGTCAAATGATAAGTATTTTCCATCCATCTGTTTGTTACCTTGTGTTTTAAAGTTGCAATAAAAATATGGAATCTTGTTACTACATTATGCTAACATTTATAGCTGTTGCTTCTGAGATTTATGAGTTCAGTAACAATAGCAAAATGAGCAGTAATAGCAAAACCTGGGAATCCCTCTGGAATCTTGAATTCTGCACTGTACAGGTAATAAAGAACTCTTTAGAGTAGGGATGAGATAGATATATAACATGTACCTATTATTTTTCTCCTATTGCTCTTGAAATTATTGAACTTGAGATTTATTGCACTAAATATGTGTGCCTTTAAATTTTTTTCATTAAAATGTTTAAAATATAGGAAAGTGTGAAGAAGAAAATTAATACCACCTGTATGTAGTCCAGCACTGTGATGCTTTTGTTAGGCAAGATTGTATACTTCCTGAAAGTTCCCTTCTTCCTTAATTTTTCTGTGAGAATGGTACCTGGAGTTGCTGGGAATTACATGGAATAGTATTTGTAAATGCTTTGTAAACCATAAACGAATGTATATATTCTTTTGTAGTAGTGTAGTAGTAGCTTTTGTTCTTTAAAATCTTACACATTTATAACATTGCTTAAGATTCCCATTAAGATATAGATAAGAACTAAAAAAAAAAAAAAAATTATGATTTTGGACATGGCAACAAATGAAGTATCTAGCTCAGTTATTTTCAAAGTATGGTCTAAGGACCCCTAGAGATCCTACAGTAATTTGCAAGAAGTCTACAAGCACAAAACTATATTCATAATGATATTAAGATGTTCTTTTTTTCTCATTGTGTTGATTTGTAACCGTGACTTAAAAACAATGGCGAGTAGGACTTAGGGCAAGCGGCTGAAGGGGTGGGGCACTGTCAACTTGCTCACATGCTTAGCAGGCAAAGCTCGCCCTTAGGAATGGCCTGCACTGTGGAAACACTGGCAGAGAGGATTTTTGAAGAAATTTCAGTAGCTGAGCTTGTGGGCATTTTTGGAGCATACTTTTTCTTTCATAAGATAAACACAAGCCAAATTTCAGGGAAACAATGAACAAGAAATTTTCCTTTCATCTTGGAAGTTTATTGCAAATCCATTGAACAATCTGGAATATATGGGATCAGAGAACAAGATCAAGAAAAATGGCTGAACAGCAAAAATGGGGACCAGTCATCCCATTTAGCTTCCTACCTAAGCTGTTTGAGACCTTTGGGAGAAGAAAGATGAGCCTTTCTCATAGATTCTCTATGGCCCCACAGCACATCCTACTGAGTAACAG